GAGAGAGAGAGAGAGAGAGAGAGAGAGAGAGAGAGAGAGAGCGAGCAGTCAGTCTTGGTAAAAATGCTAATGCAGGTCTTGAACTTGAGGCCTCAGGTGATTCTCCAGTGGCAATCTTTGGAGTTGGGACTCCAGACATAGCCTAGCTCTCCACAGCATGTTTAACACATGGAGGGGCTGGGCTTGATGACACAGGGCTTTATTCCCAGAACAGAGGCAGAGGCAGGCAGATCTTGGTGAGTTCCAAGCCAGCCTGGTCTACATTAAGGCATTTCAGGCCAGCTATGACTACATAAGACCCTGTCTCAAACAAACAAACAAACAAGCAAACAAATGTCCTCTGACATGCAGTGCACAAGCTCCCCTTTCACACAGAGGATATGTGAAATTTAAATATTTTTTAAAACATGGAGCGAACATTGTATGTTTTATTATTTTATTTGTCTGAGTGTTTTGCTTGCATGCCTGTAGAGGGCATCTCTTCCAGAGATATCCTCTGGAATTGGAGTTACATATGGTTAGCTGCCACGTGGGTGCTGGGGATCAAACCTGGATCCTCTGCAAGAGCAGCCAGTGCTCTTAACCCCTGAGTCATCTCTCCAGCTTCTTTGTTTTTTTGGGACAGGGTCTCATGTAGCCCTTGAAGTCCTATGTAGCTGAGGATGACCATGAACTTTGGATCCTTCTGTCTCCATCTTCCCAGTGCATGGACTACAGAGGTAAGCCACCATACTGGGCTGGAGCCAGCATGTAAAAATCTAGGGATGTGGTTCAGTCGATAGAGTACTTGTCTACCAATTATCATGGAGCCAGAGGTTCAGTACCCAGCACCAGTAATCCAGATGTGGTGACATTAGCTGCCTTTCTTTTTTTTGAGACGGTCTCCCTGTAGCCCCAGCCCTGAACTTGCTATGTAGACCAGGCTGGCCTTGAACTCACAGAGGTAGCCTGCCTCTGCCTCCCAAATGCTGGGATTAATGGCATGCACCACCATGCCCAGCTACTAGCTGCCTTTTCCTACCCAGCTGCTTGTTTTCAGAGGCCCCTCATCTCACCTCTCTTCTTCCATTGAAGTCACTCCTGGGCTTTAAGGCTAGAGGGCTCTGTATGGCACAGCAGCTCAGATCCGGGTTCAGTCCTCTACCAGCTGTGTGACCTCAGGCATGCCACATGACCTTCATCCTGTTTCCCCATTTGCAAATGGTGTTGAGTACCCACCCAATTCTGGGGTGTAGGGGCTGCTGGATAGGGCTGGGGTCAGAGCTCAGCAGATATTAAGAAATGGCCCCCCATCCTGGGTTCAAAAGCCCATCTCACAAGTGACCCCAAGACTCTGAAACCCAGTACAAAACACCTACCTCCCGACGTGCAAAGTATTTTTCTATCCTGTGTGACTCAAGTTTGGGTTTGAAGCTTAGACCACATGCTGGACTCAAGCTGGCCTTTCCTCCCACTGGGGTAGGTAGGACCTGAGAACAGGAAGCCAATGAGCTGCCCCTGCACCCTCTGGAGTCCCACTGCTGGCCACACCCACCCGTCACCCAGACTTTTACCACCTTTTCTTCTGAGAACCTCTCTCCCTCCAGTGACTGAGGAAGGGTTGACCCCACCCATCTGGGGGAGGTTTCAGCACTAGCCAATCAGACTTCACCTGGCCACTGACCAAGGTGACTGTCTCAGGGGCAGGCACATTACCCAATCTGGACTGACTGTGAGACCTGATCTCCAATCAAACCCCTGGTCCTTCAGCTGTGACAACAGACCCAACCTGTGTGCTTTGCAGTTTGAGGAGCTGATCATTGGCTATTCATTTCCACTTTCTCTTTCTGTCACCTCACACCTGCCAGTGCTGGGCAGTGCTGGGTATGGGGCCAGGGCTGTGCATGCTACGCAAGCGCAGTCTTCTTTCTGCTTTTTTTCTTAGATTTTTATTATAAGAGTGTTTTGCCAACATGTGTGTATGTACACCAGTAGACGACGTGTGCAATACCCAAGGAGGCCGGGTTGGAGTACCTGGAACCGGAACTGGAATTACCGGCTGTGAGCCACCACGTGGGTGCTGGGAACCAAACCCTGGTCCTTTTCAAGAGTGGCCAGTGCTCTTAATCACAGAGCTGTCTTTCCAGCTCCCCTTCTTTTTACTTTTGAGACAGCCTGGATAAATTGTCCAGGCTGCTCTTCTCTGTAGCCCAGGAATGCCTGGAACTTGCAATCCTCCTGCCTTAGCCTTTTGAATAGCTAGGCTCATAGGCTTGTGCTACCAAACCTGGCCTTGCTTTCTAGCCCTAATGCAATAACAAACAGAAGACCCCTTCCTTCAGTGGTCCCTGATGTAGTGACAAGTCCAGTGACAGGCAAACTTTAAGGAAAATACAGTTATGGGCCACATAATAAATACTGAGGTTTCAGAGATGGCTCAGCAGTTAAAAGCATTTGCTGAGTAATCACTGGGACCAGATTTGGTTCAAAGCACCTATGTAACAAGTGGAGTGTCTCATGTATGCCTATAAACCCTAACTATGAGGGGGGAAGAGACAGGAGGATCACTGGGGCTTGCTGGCACACAGTCTAGCCAAGAGAATGCAATCCCCAGGTTCAGGAAGAGACCCTATAGGAGAATGACAGGACACCCAGTGGCCCTCTTCTGGTCTCCAGGCACACCTGTACACATATTCTCTCAGACAGACAATCTTTTTTTGCTGTGGTTTTTAGGGTTTTTTTTCTAGACAGGTCTCCCCGTGTAGCCTTGGTCAGCCTCAAACTCCAAGTTCCACTTGCCTCCATCTCTCAAGTGCTGGGATTAACGGTGTGTCCCACCATGCCAGCTCAGATATAATCATAAAAACTAATGAAACTATTTTTCAGATTCTTGTCATTTGCGCCTTTAACAAGCCTTTTCCCCCGCTAATTAACAGTGCAGAAACTAGCCTATTTAAATTTTTTTTAATTTAATTTTTTTTTTTTTTTTTTGAGACAGGGTCTCCCAGCAGCCCCAGCTGTCCTGGAACTCACTATGTAGACCAGGCTGGCCTTGCCTCCCTCCACCTGCCTCTGCCTCCCGAGTGCTGGGATCAAAGGCGTGCACCACTACGCCTGGCTATTATTTTTTAATTACGAGTATGTGTGCTGGAGTTACTCATCAGTAACTCAGGTCCATCTGCTGAAAGAATTCTTGAGCAAGGGTCAGAGAGCATTGTTTTAGCATGATCTATGAAAGGTCACTCCCACTCACCCAGCTTTCCTCCCCAAGTGTCTGAACACAGGTCACTCACTGTCTTGGGTGTGGTGTTGCACGCCTGTAATCCCAGCACTGGGGACATGGAGACAAGAGGATAAGGAGTTCAAGACCAACCTCATCTACATCCAGGATGCATGACACCCTGCCTCAGCAAACAAATTCACAGGGCTGGAGATGGCTAAGAGCACTGGCTGCTCTTTCAGAGAACCTGGGTTTGATTCCTCAGCACCCACATGGTGACTAACAACTGTCCCCAGCTCCAGTTCCAGGGGATCTGATGCCCTCTTCTGACCTCCTTGGACATGGGTGCACTTACATACATGTAGGCAATACAGTCACACACATAAAATAGAAACAATAAAATATTATTCTTTATTATTTTATGTGTATGTGTATATTGTCTGTGTGTAGGTAAGTGCACCAGTGCAATGCCCACGGAGGACAGAAGAGGCTATTGGATCCTCTGGAGCTGGAGTTACGGACAACTGTTAGCTGCCATGTGGGTGCTGGGATTCAAACCCAGGTCTTCTGCAAGAACAACCAGTGTTCTTAACCGCTGAGCCATCTCTCCAGCCCCCCAATAAAATGATTTTTTAAAATTCAGTTAACAGCTGGGAATTCTAGTACTTGGGAGGTAGAGGCTAGTAGATCTCTATGAGTTCAAGGCTAACCTGGTCTATATAGTGAGTTTCAGGCCAGCTGTGGCAACAGGGAGACCTTATCTCAAAAAGAACCCCCCCTAAGAAATTCACTTGGTTCAGGCAATAAAGCCCCTTCCTTAGGCCAGTGCTGGGGGCTGGGAATGGTAGAGTCTACCGCAGCTCTGCCCCTCACTCTCCAGTCAGCCAAGAAACACCATGAGGCAGTTAGGTTAAGTAGGCTCTTCCTGCTTTGTTATAAATATATTATATACATCCAAAACATGACCTTAAAATATTACTCCATGTTACAGAAAGATATTAAGGCTTTCTATTATTTACATTGACAAGCAAGCACCTTTAAAAAAAAAAACGACCAAAAATAAAAAAAGCCCTACTTGTTTTTTCTCACACACTGGCCAGAAGGGACACAGCATCCCCTCCCCAAATGACCAAACCCTGTTGCAAGGGCCATGCCCCATAAAGACACCTTCACAGGGAGAACTCAGGTATGGCTGGACATGTGGGCAGAAGTGTGGGTGAGAAGGGGGTGTCCAGACACAGGTGGGGATTCTAGCCTCTGCCGTTAGCTGTCATGGACCCTTGCCCAGCTCTGCCATCCTTGGGTGGCTGCTGGGGCGGTCTGCCCACCCAGGCCCCCCAGGCAGGTCAGTTTGTAGGGCTGAGTGAGGATGATTATCCAGGCACATATGAGTGTCCTGGAGGCACCCTGGATCACTGGGTCCAACAGACCAAGTGAGTCAGAGGCCCTCATGCCAGCCAGGGCTGGGCAGTAGGCAGGTGCTTGGGATGGGGCTGGTTCCTCTTCTGCAGTTAGACTTGGCTTCCAAGCAGCCGGGAGGGCCCAAGGAAAGAACAGGAAAAGAGGAACCGAAAACTTCGTAGCTCAAGTAGTCTGTGTCACTGGGTGTGGGCTGGGGGCGCCCGGGGCCCAGCCCAGGGGACTCCTCTCCACTGGAGAGGCAGGTCAAAGAGGCTGGAATTTGGCAGATGGCTTCAGTTTAGGCCGGGGAAGGCTGGCGACCAGGCAGGGGGCTAGAGATAATCTACTTGATCTTCTGGGCCCACTTCATGTCATCCGCCCGAGGCTTCTCACCAGTCAGGCCTTGGATAATGTCCTCTAGGCGTCGCCAGAAGCCCACCATCTCCAGGGGGTAATTGAGCCAGCCTATGGCAGACATAGTCAGGGGGCTGAGTGAGGAGAGAGTCAGCCTGGGGTGAGACCCCTCAGGAGATAGGGTAAAGAAGGCAGGACATAGAAACCTCCCAGGAGAGGACTTGGGGCCTTCCCGCAAGTCACTAGCTTTCTTAGTGAACACAACTTTTCCCTGGACACAGTGTATGTGTGTCTGATCACCTGGGCCCTCTCTGCTGGGCACTGTGTGCGTGAGTGAGTGAGTGAGTGAGTGAGTGAGTGTGTGTGTGTGTGTGTGTGTGTGTGTGTGTGTGATCACCTGGGCCCTCTCTGCTGGGAACCCTTCCTTGACACCATCTTAGGCAGCAGCCCCAGCCTAGCAATTGTGCATATCTGTATAGCCTTTAAGATTCACCTTCTTTAAATTCATTCTTTCCTGAGTTTTTGTTTGTTTTTTTGAGACACAGTCTCATATAGCCTAGGCTGACCTTATGCATCCCAGGATGACCCTGAACTCTTGATCCTCCTGCCTGCCTCTACCTTGGGATTACAGACATAACACCACTATGCTTGGCTTTTCCTGTTTTTTTTTTTTGTTTGTTTGTTTGAAATAAGGTCTTCTTATATAGCCCAGGCTGGCCTCAAACTCTTGGTCCTCCTGACTCAGCCTCCACAGTGTTGGGAAGACAAGGTATAAGCCACTGTGTCATCAGGACTTTCTCCCTTAACTCCTTTCTGGCCTCAGGTCAGGGTCACCTTCTCAGGGAGGCCTTCCTAGAGCACCCCCTGCCCTTTTAAAGGTGAGGCCTCTATTTCCTGTCCCAGCTCTACTGTGTATTTTATTCACTCCCTATCTCACAACGACATGAGGAGTGTCACAAGGGCAGGGACTCTGCCTATTTTGTTCAGTGCTAGATCCTGAGCCCCGAGCAGTATAAGCACATAATAGGTACTCCACACATGCCTGCTGGCTGGCTGGGTGTCTGGAGTTACAACAGTCTGAAGTAGGGTAGGGCCTTTGTCATGTTCACTGCCCTATCCTTACTTAGCATCTAGAAGAGTGCCTGACACATAGCAGGTGCTCAATAAATGTGCATCCTGGGAACACTGGGTAGACTGGACTGTGTCACCTCTGCCCTCTTGATCCTGGGGATGTACCGCTCACCTGTGGTGATACAGAAGTAGGTCTCATGAGGTGCCACATGGTGGATGCGGTGGTGTTTCCGTGGTAGGATCATGTGCCAGTCCTGCAGGAAGATCACCCACGGTGGCAGCCCAAAGTATGTGTGCGACCACTTGTGGATCTGGTTGGTGAAAGTGCCAAAGATGGTCAGGCAGAAGACGAAACATTCCCAAGGGTACAGCCGTTCCAGGGTTTCTGCAGGGTGGGAAAGAGGGTTGTGAGATATGTGCAGTTGTCCCTCTGGCTGGTGGTCCACTGTCCCTACCCACTGGCCATTGGCAGCTCCCGACCTTCCTGCTGGCCTCAGGCCGCTTGGCCTTCTCTGGGCTAAAGTCTTCAGAGGCTGGAGGGAGCCCAGAGACTAGCTAGGGGTGTGGGCTCTGTAGCTAACTGGGCCTGGGTTCTGATTCCTGCTGCCACTTATGGTTTATGTGAGTGGGGTGGGGACCTATGGCTGGTTCATGGATTTGAGGGAGTCTTTCTTTGGGGAAGGATATCTACAGAGGCAGGGAGGCAGGGCAGAGCCTGAGACTGGGTGAGGACTTTGCCTCAGCCAGGCCTGTGGGCTTCTAGGGTGTCAACAGCCCTCAGAGGCAAAGCTGCAGGCCTGAGGGCTTCCTTACGTGCTGGCTTCAGGCTTATGGACAGGGATCCTCCGGATTCTTCCCACTGAGAGGTGCCACCAGATCTGGCCTTGCCTCATCCACTGATCTGACGGATAGTGGTGAGCTGGCCAGCTTTGGGACAGTTCCTCCACACACTGGCATCGCTTAGGCTTGGGCTCACAACATATACTTTATTTTTATGTGCATAAGTGTTTTGCTTACATGTTATGTAAGTGAACAACATGTACGCAATGCCCAAAGAGGCCAGAAGAGGACATCAGATCCCTTGGAACTAGAGTTAAAATTGTTAGCCACCATGTGGGTGCTGGGAACTGAACCCTGGTCTACAAGAGAAACCAGTGCTCTTAGCCACTGAACCACCTTTCTAGCCCCTTATACTTGTTTTTCAGTGCTGGGCTTGAGCCCAGGGCTTGGGCATGGCAGGCCAGCCGTTGGCCACTGCATCCTACCCCAGCCCTCACAGCACACTTTTTCCTCTAAATAACAAAAGCACAAGGCCTGGCTGCCAGAGATTCATGGGAGGGAACAGCTCAGCTTCGTGGAGCAGGAGGGAAGGAGCATCCTGGGGGGCTGGGGAGGGTAGCTCATTACCTGTCAGAGAGGATGCTCCAAAGGAAGCTGGGAACAGATACGCAATACCCCGTTTTCCATGTACCTCACTAATGGCGTGTACTTTAACAGTGGGAAGAGTAAGCCCTGACACACCCCAGGAGATTCCCGGGGTCTCTGTTCCTGACACCCTTTGGGGAGTGCCACCTGTAGGCCTCACCTGGGCTCTGGGTACAGAACTTGTAGGCCATGTTAAGCAGTGGCAGCAGCGTCACCAGGCAGTTGTCACCATTGGTCTCGATGAAGTCATGCCTCGTGATGGCCGTGGGGTCGATGTGGTGCTCCCGGAACGGCCGGATGAAAGCCTGAGGTGGGTGGGGTGTGGGTACAGCCTGCTGGTCAGCCTGAGGCAGCCCATGTTCTCCAGACCCCCAAAACACCACCAGGGCTCTTTGATCACTGCAGGTCCTGGCACCCCACCACCAACACAACCTCTTCCCAGGCCAAAGTCTGGTGGTGGTCTTCCCCAACTCCTCTGAGCCTCAGTCTCCCCACCTGTGCTGATGGTCGTGGACACAACCTTACCTTGCAACAGGGACTTCTACCATCAAAGGGACCCTGTCTCCCTAAACCCCAAGCTTCTATTGGGAGCAGCTGAGTTTGATGATGGCTGACAGATAAAGCTGACCTTCCTGTGGCTGAATGAGTGTTGACTCAGGAACTGTCACTGAAGCATCCATCCCCCAGACAGTGACTGGCTACAGGATGAGCAGTGTGAGCCCTGCTGGACCCATGGGAACATGTGCTAGGAGTCTGATTACCACTGGGGGAAGGAACTCATGGAAGCCAGGAGCCCCAGTCTGCATCCACCAGGGAAGATGGAGAGTGACCCTCCACCTCAGCCGTGCTTTAAACCGGTGCCAGGAAGAGTGAGAGCACTCACCTGATGAAACCAGCCTGACTTCAGTTCTCTGCCACAACCCAGAAAGCGTAAGCAACAAAGGGTAAAATCTAATTGAGACACGGAAGGCCGAGAGGGACAGACTAAGCTAGGCTAGGATTCAAGGGCAAGCTCCCATGAGGCTGTCTGAGCCGCCTGCAGCCCACCTGATGTCTCTGCTGCTATGGAAAGCAGGGGATTCCTGGTCCAGTCTTGGAACAGAGTGTGAAGACTGACTCTGGGGTTTAGTCCCATCTTCCAGACAGGGAAACTGAGGCTCTGAGAGGAAAGGGACTCACCCAGGATCACGCAGCCCGACATACGCACCTTCCCCACCACTGGTAGATCCACAGAGCCCCACGTGTCGGCACCCCAGTGCACCAGACCAGACAGGAAGTCAGCGATGAGGGCTCCCATGACTGTGGACAACAAGCATGTGAGCTGGGGCAGGGGACACACGGAGACATCCCCACCTCCCTCATTAGCAGTCACTCATCTGCTTATTGGCCACGCACTTGCTCATCCATCAAGGGAGAGAGGTGAGAGCCTGGGCCTCATACTCCAGGCCCTGGTCTGCCCTGAACTTGCTCTGTCTGAAGCAGAGGCCAGGACTCACCACAGTTTTGGGAGTCCAGAGAGAGTGAAGTGGGCATGCTTAGAACAGCAGCCTTCTCTAGGGTGGTAGCCCCCTTCTCTCCACCCCACAGCGGCACATGCAGGGAGTCCACTGTGCTGTGGTGGCTGGAGAAATGTCCTCCTAGACTGACTTTCAAAAGGACCTCTCCTGAGCTGGTGTCGGGGCTCCTACCCAGAATCCCAGCACTTGGGAGGCTGAGGCAGGAGGAGCCAGAACTTGAGGCTAGCCTGGGCTCCACAGTGAAATAAAAGCAGTACCTCACCCACAAACAAGCCACTTTCCTCACCCCCCACCTAGCTTTCATCAGTAATAGACAAAATCAGAGCTGGAGAGGTGGCTCAGAAGTTAAATGCTGTTCTTTTTTGTTTTTTAACTTTTTAAAAAAATTTATTATTTTTTAAATTTTACGTGTGTGTGTGTATTGCCTGCATGTATGTAAGTGCACTCGTGTCATAGGTCAGAAGAGGCTGTTGGATCCCCTAGGACCGGAGTTACAAGTTGTTAGCTGCCATGTGGGTGCTGGGATTCGAACCCGGGTCTTCTCCAAGAACAACCAGTGTTCTTAACTGTTGAGCCATCTCTCCAGCCCTGCACGTTACTTAACCTCTCTTGTGTCCCAGTTTCGTCTTGTAAGATGGGAGTGATAAAGATTATAAAGAATGCCTTTTATCAAGTGCTCTCTCATTTAACACTTAGGTGCTTTACCTGTGTCTTTCCATCTGTCGGTAGCATTTTAACACGCTCACTTTACAGAGAGAGAACCAGAGGCCTGGAGAGAAGTAGCTAGGCCCAGGTCACACACATGGCAAGTGGCATAGCCTGGCTCCTAACCTGTCTTGAGATTCAAATCTAGCTCGGCAGTACGTACTATGATCTACGTAAGTGTGGGGAAACCAAGGCACAGTGACCAGCAGTATAAGTGGACACTTTATACTGTCCTCCCCTCACTCCTGTAGCCCGTGATTTTTTTGCCACCCAAGCCTCCTCCTCTGAGCCTTTGTCTGTGCTGTTCCTCTGCTTGAAACCTTCCCCCTTTTCCAGACCACCACAGCTTGTTTCCTCACAATCATCAGGTCCTAGCTCCATGTGCTAGCTGGTTCTGGCCTAACTGGGGCCACACTGCCTGCCGAACTTCCAACTGGTTTCTCTAAGGATGTTCATTCTTTGCCATTTTTACTGCAGTAAAATTCCAAATCTGGGACTGGCACTGTAGGCTCTTTTATTTAGAGCTAGACCCCATGCTCTGGCACATCTGTGGGCTAAATGGTGCTTGGCACACAGTAGGCCTGCAGTACATAGTGTGTTTCAGCCAATCAAGCCACATTCTGTGAGAACCCATTGTGTACTGAGCTCAAAGGTCAGAAACACACTGACCCCGAGCTTACCGACAAGGGCTGAGGATGACCTGGACAGCTGTGTGCTCTCAGCTTTCCTGCACTGCTGCTCTTTGTAAACTGGGTGTCCAAGGCCCAAGTTCTCTGAGTAGCAATGATGTCCTCAGTCCCTTGGTGACACCTGTCAGAGCCTAGGGTACTCTGAGGGCTGCAAGCAATCCCTAGGATAACTCTCTGAGTTGGGAGAAACTGGTGACCTAGGGGACAGATTTAAGAGTGTGGGCCAATGTGGGAATGCATCTGACTTAAGGGCAGATGCTGAAGTCAGGCCTTTAGAAGCTGGGATATACCCCTCTATCTAGCTACACACTTATCTATCCATCCACCATCTATCCATCTACCCATCCCGAGTATAGGAGGGACAGTGGGCAGATAGTGACATAGTTTCATGCAGGCACTGCACTTTCTCAGGGCTAAGAGTATGTGGGAGGCCAGCAGGCAACATGGCGCAGCTGTGCCTGCTGGCACACAGAAGCCGAAGGGTAGAGGGGTGCCACTGCCTGAGGCAAAGGACTTGCTGCTCCCCTGCACACAGCAGGGGTGGTGGTTTGAATGAAAATGTCCCCCATAGGCTCCAAGTATTTGGACATTTTGTCCCCAGATGATGGCGCTGTTCTGGGAGGTCTTAGAAGGTGTGGCTAGCCTGGAGGAAGCACGTCACTGGGGTTGGGCTCAGAGAGTTCTAAAGCCTTGCCAGATCTCCAGTTGCTCTCTGCTTCCTGTGCCTGCGTGATGACACACGTAGCTTCTGCTGCTCCTCCTCCAGCCACCTCTGCCACATGCCTCCCTGCCATGATGGACTGTAATTCCCCTGGAACTGTAAGCTCAAATAAACTCTTCCTTCTATAAAATGCTTTGGTCAGTGTTTCTATCACAGCAACAGAAAAGTAACAGCAGGCCTAAGGCATCATTAGAGCACCTACCTGTACTGTGGATGGTATGCATATATTGCTTCTAGTTGCCATGAGAGACAAGAGGCCATGTGGCCCAGGGCTACAGGGAGGAGGAACCGTGTGGCGGGGCGATAGAGGAGAGAGAGAGAGAGAGAGAGAGAGAGAGAGAGAGAGAGAGAGAGAGAGAGAGAGAGGCAGCGGGGGAGGGCTGGGGCCTTTCTTTTGGCACACTGCTGTGTGACCTCAGGTAAGCCTGAGCCTCTGTGTATGACTGACGGCAGGTGGGCCTCTTGCCACCTGAACCTCTATGTCTTTACCTGCATGAGGGCAGTTGATGTCTTCAGAGGCCTGTCCCAATGCCATTAGTTGATGGCAACTTTAAACATGCCTTCAGGACAAACAGTTACAGGGGAAGAGACTGGGTGCCTGTGGTATAGCCTAGAGGGCCCTCCAAGGCTCCTAGTCCGAAGTGCTTCCCTTTCCCAGTCACAGCTCACATTAGGTGACAACTGTGCTTAACTGGCAGGCAGTGATGGTGTGGGTCTGCATGGCTCCAGGTCTCCTGATATGAGGCTGCACCTATAGTTAGTGGGCTGTAAGCCACGCAGGAGCTGCGAGTCCAGGCATGAAAACTACCAGTTATCGTGGCTACATCTCAGTGCTGTGGTCATCACATGGGGGTGGGATCACCACAATGCCTTGTTACAAGTAATTTTGGTTCTTGGGTTTAGTACATTCCCAACCCCTAGCAGGCTCCCTCTCACCCCCTACTCTAGGTATTCACAGACAGACCTGCTTCTGTCTGTTCTAGGACTTCATATTGTATGTTAAATCATGATATGCATGCTCTTTGTCTGGCTTACTTTATTACTCCAGTTCATCTGTAGTCCCATGTGTCATGTATGCTGGTCATTCCCTTTTTGCTACTGAGTAGTATTCCATTATCTAGTGGAGTGCATAGTGTGCTCCATTCAGCTACTGTTCGACTCCAACTACAGTGCTCATTCATTGAGAAGCCTGTGTGCTCACAGATACCTTCATTTCTCTGAGTAAAGATGGCAGAGATATTTGTGTTTTTAAGACAGAATCTTATGGAGTTCATGCTGGCCTTGAACTCCTGATCTTCCTGCCTCAACCTCCCGAGTACTGGGATGATAGGTATACACTCCCACAGTTGTGCAAGTTCAGTCACTCCCTCCAAAGCAAAGGAGAGAGTGACATGGGAGAAACTGGGAGATGCTCCCTGATCCGGGGCAAAGTGACCACACAGTGGCAAGCTGTGCTGACCTCTGCCTTTGACAAAACCAAAATGATCTCAGAGGAGCACGTTGCTTGCCTAGCATGTATAAGGGGCTGAGTTCTATCCCTAGTATCGCCCAAAAGCAGAGAACACAGGCCAGATGCAGTTGTGCACCTCTGCAATCCCAGCACTCAGGAGGCTGAGGCTGGGGGATCAAGAATCAAGGTCAGTCTGAGCTACATAGTGAGTTCAAGGCCAGTGTGGGCTACATGAGATCCTGACTTACAAAACTAAGCAAGAGTCTACATGCTAGTATACATCTTCCATGCCAGCATTCAGGAGGCAAAAGCAGGCAGCTCTCTGTGAATTTGAGGGCAGCTTAGTCTATATAGAGGGTTCCAGGACAGCCAGGGCTATATGGGGGGGGGAGGTTGAGACTGCCACAGCTCAATGGTCCTCAATTAGGATTGTGACAAGTGACCACACTGGTATGCTACATGGGCTGGTGGGATGTTGGTGAAGACTGAGGAAATGGAATCGAACGTGGAACTCATATACAAAACAGTAACACTGGCCACTGTCAAATACAAGAACTTGTGCAGGACTTAAAACACTCGAAGCTGCTCCTGTAAATCCTAAACTGACCTAAGAAACAGTCTGCTGGGCTGGTGCTTGGTTGATAGAGCACTGCTTAGCATACCACAAAGCCTTGGCTTCTACCCCAGCACCGCATCAACAGGTGTGGTGGCACAAGCACTTGTCACTGCAGCACTTGGGAGGTGGAGGCAGGAGGACCACAAATTCAAGGTCATCTTTGGCTATACAGAGTTCAAGACCAACTTGGGATACATGAGACCCTGTCTCAAAAGAAAACAAAATAAAACAGAGGCCCGAGAGATGGCTCAGCAGTTGAGAGCACTGGCTGCTCTTGCAGAGGGCCTGAGTTTGATTCCCAGCACCTACATGTCAGCTAACAATCATCTGTAACCTCAGTTCCAGGGAAATCTGACGGCCTCTTCTGACCTCCAATGGACACTGCACAATATGGGTACACACATACATGCATATAAAAAAACAACAAAAAAAATGTTTTTAAAAAACCCCAAAACAAAACAATAGAAGCTGGAGAGATGGCTCAGTGGTTAAGAGTACTGGCTGCTCTTGCAGAGGACCTGGGTTCAACTCTTAGCACCCACATGGTGGCTAATTCCTAATGCCAGTTTCAGGGGATCTGATGCCCTCTTCTGGCCTCCTTGGGCATTGCACAACGTGGGTGCACTTACACACAGGTAAAACACACACATTAAAAAATATATATATTTAAAAAAATCTACTCGGCAGTGTAACCTCCCTTCATGTGCAGTGATAGGCCCAGCCACACCTGACCTTCCTTCCAGAGGGCATTGCTAGGGTCACTCACAATGGTTCACGCTCAGGCTCACATCCAGGTGTGGGAAATGAAGTCGCAGAGGACAACCAGCAGAGGGTAATCAAACAGAAGAAAAATGGACAGAGATCTGGCTGGGCTGGGCTGGCAGTTCCCCCTGGCCTGAGTCTTGCATCCTTCTGTGAGCCTCAGTCTTTCTACCTGTCAGACAGCCAGCACCTGTCCCCTAGAGGTTGCTGGCAGAGTGGGGACTGGTATCCCAGGTGAGAGGGGCTTTCCCTTCCCTCCCTGCAGGAAGAAATGGCCCTGCAATCCCTGGGGCGGGGTAATTGTTTCTAGGGCACCCATTCTAGGCCACCCAGCTGCCTTTGAGGCCCCTTTAACGGGGTGGGTGGCAGCTGGTTTACCTTGGTAATCATCCTTCCCTGCAGACTGGGAAGAGGACAGGGGACAGGAATGCTTCTATCCAGGCCTCTTCCAGCTTGCCTGTGACACCCTGAAGGCTGGGGTGGGGATGAGGAGAGGTGACACACAGGTGGACACAGGCCCTGAGTGTCTATATAATCTCTTGATGCCCCAGGCAGCATGACCTCCTGACCTCATTGCTGACCCCTGCACTTCTTGTGTTGGGTTTCCTGTGCTAGCTGCTGGGTCAGTCTCCCTTCTTCCATCTCTAGGGGACCCCCCAATCCCCTTTCAAGGAGTGTACTGTGTTCTCCCCAAAACAGCTTGGACACCCACCGCTCACTGGTCACCAGTCACTATAAAGTGCCCTTGGCACAGTTACTGGTAACCTTCAGGGCCAAGTCCCTTTGCTGGGCATCATAGTGGTGGCCACCCAAGTCTATTGACAGTCTGCTCTGGGCCCCGGCTACCCTTGAGGCTCTCTCCACCCCTTGGGTGCCTACCTCTGGATGTCTGGGCTTCTATCCAGTTTCCCTCAGGCCCCCCTCTCTCCCTCCACTGTCATCCTCCCATGGCTTAGGCTGATCCCAGGATCACACCTGACCCCGCCACCTACCCACAACAGCCTGACCGCATGTGGTTCACCACATAGCTCATCTGAGTTTGGAAAATCCATCAAGTTTGGAAAGTCCATCCGTACCTCCTCCCTCACCTCCTTCAGGCTGTAGCAAATGTGGCTTTATCTCAATCTGGTCTCCAGCATTGCATCACACAAGCCTGGCTTTACCAACTAGATACCTCTGATTTCCGGGGCTGCCTGGGGTGCGGGGAACCTCTGGGGAGATAGGGACGAGCTGGCACTGTGCCCTCAGTGCCAGTCTGCGTGTTAATAGACAAATCAGGGCGGCTATTTAAATCGATTGCGGATTGTGCAAACACTGCTATCAGGATATTACCTGCCCTTATCAGCCCATGAGCTGCTGAATTTGGCCATGCCATGCTGGACTGTGAGGACCTGTGAGGACTGGGCTGGGAGATCAGGGAGGGAGAGGATGACCTGACTATACAGCACACAGCTGGACCCACTGCAGGGGGTCTGCTTCTGGCCAGGGAGGGTGTGTTTGGAGAGCCAAGGCTGTTGGCATTGGTAAGAGTCGGTGGCCAGAGGATGGTGCCAGAAACCTTGAAAGAGGTTGCTACCAAGAATGTGAGGTGGCCAGTGTGGGGTGGGACCCCAGCAGGAGCTCACAGAACGGCCACTGTTAATTTGAGCAGGGGCTGAGGTACAGCCTTGGCTACTGTCCCTTCCAGACCTCGTCCCACTACTGCTCTGGAGCCTGCACTGCACAGCCCCGATGGCCAAGTATGCAGGATGAGGCTCACGACATCTGCCACTTGCTGTAGCCACCCTGGCTGAGGTTCTGCCTTCCTCTCTGCACTAAGTCTGTTGGGATGGTTGGGGGTGCCTCCCAACTCCCAACAAGGAGTCCGAGGGGGGCTGATGGCTCTCCAGCATGGGGTAGGCTAACGTCTGCCTTGCACTGGCAGTGCCCCTCAATGCCCTGGACCCAGAGGGTTAGCAGGCCTCCATGCTATGGGCTTAGGTGACCAAATGCTTTTAATGAGAGTAGAGTACCAAAATCCATAGGGAGGCTCGGGTCGGACCAAGAGCACCAACACCCTGTGGTCAGCCCAGGAGTCTAGGACGGGGTAAACTCTTGTGCCAGAGGACAGAGGTCTGAAAAGGAGTCCGCTACAGCCAGGGGTACCAGCAGACATTACTGCCTACTCTGTGCTTCTGGTTAGACGGGACTCCAGGGCTGGAGAGATGGCTCAGCGGTTAAGAACACTGTTCTTGCAGAAGACCCAGCTTCGAATCCCAGCACCCACATGGCAGCTGTTCCAAGGGATCTGACAGCTTCTTCTGTCCTCCGAGGGCATTGCAGGCACAAGTGCACTTACCTACATGCAGGCAATACACGCATACACATAAAATAAAAATAATAGCTGGGCGTGGTGGCACACGCCTTTAATCCCAGCACTCTGGAGGCAGAAGCAGGCAAATCTTTGAGTTCAAGGCTAGCCTGGTCTACATAGTGAGTTCTAGGACAGCTTGGGCTACAGGGAGACCCTGTCTCAAAAAGACCAAAAAATTAGTTAATAATTAAAAAAGAGCACTGCTTTTGCAGAGGACCTGGGTTTGATTTCCAGCACCCACATGGTGGCTAACAACTGTCTATAACTCTAGTTCCAGGGGATCTGACGCGTTCTTCTGACCTCCAGGGACAATACATGACATGGGTGCATGTACATACATGCAAGCAATACACTCATACACATAAAATAAAAATAATAAAATATGCTGGGCGTGGTGGTGCATGCCCTTAATCCCAGCACTCGGGAGGCAGAGGCAGGCGGATCTCTGTGAGTTCAAGGTCAGCCTGGTCTACATAGTGAGTTCCAGGGCAGCTGGGGCTACAGGGAGACCCTGTCTCAAAAAGACAAAAAAATAAATAAATAAATAAATAAAAATATATATCTATATCTATATATCTATATCTATATATATATAGATATATAGATATAAAAATTGAAGTCTGAATTGAGAGAGAATGAGCAGGGGTGGGGAAATAGTGACAGGGCTTTTTTTTTTTTTTCAATTAAGATGTATTTGAGCCGGGTGTGGTAGCACATACCTTTAGTTCCAGCACGTGGGAGGCAGACCTCTGCAAGATCCAGGGTAGCCTTGTCTACTTAGTGAATTCTAGACTGGCTGGGACTATAGGATACTATGTCTCATTAGTCCCCCCCACCCCCCAATTTTGTTTGTTTTTATGTGTATGTATATGCACCACATGTGCAGATGACCTTGGAGGCCAGAAGAAGGCACTGGATACCCTGGAACTAGAGTTACAGGTGGTTCTGAGCCACCCAACCTCAGTGCCAGGAACTGAACCCACCCAGGTCTTCTGCAAGAGCAAGTGCTCTTTACTGTTGAGTCATCTATCCAGTCTCCTTTTTAAATGATAGTATGTAGCTCTGGCTGGCCTGGAACTTGATATGTAGACCCAGCTTGGTCTTGAATTCACAGAGATTCACCTGCCTCTTCCTCCCAAGTGCTGGGACCAACAGGACTATTTTTGAGAGGTCATCGAGGAGGGCTGCCTAGGCAGGTAGCCTCTCAGCTGATCTTGGGGATTGACTGTGTAGTATCCTAAGGGCTCTAGGCACAGCAAACAGCTTGTGCAAAGGTCCTGAGGTAGGGGTGTGTCTGACAGTGAGTGGCCATCTTGGAAGGACAGGGACAAATAGAGGTGGCTAGGGGTTGGGGGGAGGCGCAGCAAGTGGAGTTGCCATCATGTCAGCACCATAAGCAGGCAGTGGCCAGCCTGAAAGAGGTTCTAACACAACCCCCAGAATGGAAGGTGGGGTGAAGAAGGAAGCAGGGCAAATAGCTGGGAAAAGGGGATGGGGGAAGGGTCGTTGGATCGTTTTGTTTGGTTTCGTTTTTTGTCTTTTTGAGACAGGGTTTCCCTGTAGCCCCAGCTGGCCTGGAACTCACTATGTAGACCAGGCTGGCCTTGAACTCAAAGATCCACCTGCCTCTGCCTCCCAAGTGCTGGGATTAAGGGTGTGCGCCACAATACCCAGCTTCGAGAAACATTCTGAATGCTACGGATAGAACCTAATAGACAGGAAGCAGGGATAACATCATAATGCTGGGCCCCAAGAAACAGGGCAGTGGAATGCCACCAAGATGGTAGGTGGGGCCTCCACAGCTTGTCTTCAATGCAAGTGCCCTAGGATTCCTTGTCAACACTCACCAACACCCAGGATGACAAGAGGCATGTGGTCCCAGCGGGCCAGCAGCAGAAGGTGGACCAAGTTGTGGGCGATGAGGCTGAAGCACAGGATCACAGAACACCATTCCTGGAGGCGCTTGCCTGTGGGGAGATAAGAGTCAAGTGAGGGCGCAGGCCATGGGGACCCTCAGCAGTACAGAAGTGTGCCGTGCCAAGCATGTCTGCCCACCCATTTCATAGACATCACTAAGGCCCAGAGAAGGCACTGGTGAAGCAGGACGGTGGACGCATGTCTGTGAGCTAGATATGCAAGTGCCAATTCTTTGACAGACAGGACCTATTGCTGGTCTCTCCTGAAGCGCTCTAGGGATGGGACTCCTGAGGGAGCTTGAATGACTTCTGTTTTAACTGGAAGAGTTCTGGCCCCACCTGTTCCCCCCGGTAGGTGCTCATCTGAGGGGAGAGACCACAGCTGGTCTCTAATCCCTCAAGAAAGGGAAGGTTGGAGCCTGTCCAGACTCCATATGGCAGGGTACAGGCAATGAGCTGGAAGGTCAAAGAAACTTACAGGGTTGGCTAACTAGCTACTCGTAATCAGACAGCAGTGTGGCCCCTGAAGGCTACAGGAGGACCAACAAGGATCCAGACCTCAGACCTCTGAATGGTGCCTATTTATAGACACACAAGTTCAGACAAATGGAGTCACCCCAAAGCGGTGGGCATTCAAAACTATGGACAGACCCAAGTGTCCATGGCCTGGGGACCAGCCATAGTCCCCCCAGAATCAGAGCTTCTCTGTGGCTAGGATAAAGCCTGGGAGGCCGTCTGCACATGGGTACACACAGGCACTGGGGTCATTTCACAAGGGGGTTGTGATGGCTAATCCTGGGTGTCAACTTGACTGGATCTGGGATTAACTGAAATGAGAGAGATCTTAATTGGGTCATCTGAAGCTGGAAGACACACCCTAAATGTGGGTGTTACCTTCTGATGACAGCCCTATAAAAGGCCAAGGCAGAGGAGACTGCCAGGCTTTTTGCTGCTTGCCTTCTCTCTTGCAGGTGAGTTCGTCTTGCTGCTGCAGAATGAAGACTACCCGATCCTTTGGAATTCATCAGGCTTTCAGTGCCAGATTGGAACTACTGAGACATCCAGCCTCGTGGACTGAGCGACCACGGATTCTCAGCCTCTCCAGTGTGGTGCAGCCATCGTTGGACTACTTGGACTTTATCTTGTGAGCCAAGTGGATAAATCCCTATACATATGTATTCATTCTACTGGTTCTGTTTCTTTGGAGAACCCTGACTGATTGCTGTGACAGACCTGACCCAGTTGTTTTGGGGAGGACTGTGGAAGTGTTTGGAACTTTGGGCTGGAAAAGCCATTGCGTGCTCAGAGTTTGTTGCTGTGGAGCTCAGAACAGTTATGCTGAAAGAGTTGTAGACGATAGAGGCCTGGCTTGTGAAGCTTCAAAGGGAAACAGAGACCATGAGGGCTGTTTGTGTGAGATTTTGAATTAAGAATCTATGGGTTCTGGTTGGCTGGGGCTGTAGAATCAGCTGTGATTAGAAGAGACCAGAACCTAAAGTAAAACCTTTGCTTTACTGGGACAATTGATGCTGGTTAGCTGGGGCTGAAAAATCAGCTTTAAGTATCAAGATACCAGCATCATTGTGGTGAAGTCTTCTGGGAGGTGTTTCCTCAGGGTCAGCACACAGAGGGGACCCGAGCCTCTATCTCAGTCTGGAAGCAGGAAATATGTAAGAGTCTCCTGCATGGTTCTGGTGTTGAAAGCATGAAGGGGTCACAGAGAGCAGCCAAGGCTTGGCACTCTGAGAGGCCAAGAAAGGCCATAGGTAAAAGTGCAGCTTCAGTTGCAGTGAAGACCCCAGGATTTAAGGGGTCATGGAGAGAATCTGAGGCTTTGCACCCCAAGAGGCAAGAAGAGGCCATTGGTGAAGGTGCAGCCTCAGTTTGAGTGGAGATTCCAGCTTTTTGGCGATGCCGGGACCATGGGATGACCACCAAGAACAGCAGTAGGTGTGGAATGGAGCTGGCCTGGGTCTGTGGACAAGCTGAATGTGCTGTAGATGGCAGAGTCAAAGAAGTGGAGCTGCCAGTACCCTTTGGAGCCCAGAAGATCGTGAGTGAATCCCAGATGTCCAGCTTTGAGCTACTTTGGTAGACTTTGGATTTGCTTAGGTGTGCCCGATTCTTCCCTTTGAAATAAGACAGTGCTTGTTTTGGATTTTACAGAAGCCCACCCACAGTTAAGAGACTTTTAAAAGAGACTATGGACTTTTAAGGGTTTGGATTTTTTAGGGACTGTGGGTTTTTAAGTTTGTACTGTCTTATGTTGTGATATTAATGTTAA